GTCACAGCTCACTTGCCGTGCAAAAAATAAATGCATTATTGAACTCCCCCCCTCCAAAAAAACAACACAAAAGTCTATTTTTTATAATTTTTGCATGGTGTACAGTCTGGAAAGTACCCACATGGCAAATTTCCAGTTTGTTGCATGTCGGGAAGTACGCTAAACATTTTGAACAGACACACACATTCACAACTTTGCTTTTTATATATATGGAGATTATTTTTACGTCAAAATGTGCGTGTAGTTATGCCTTGGAATATGTGTGCACACTTAGCGGCGTATAGCAGTTGTTCTTGCACTGGTAGACAGTCATTAGTGATTGAGTCAAAAATAAATATTACACCTAAAATTGAATGCAATTATATTGCGATATCGCATTTGTATTGATCTAGTCTTTCTATATTTATATCCAAGGATATTGGATTTCTGACAATCCCATTGATATCTGTGACTTCCTTTGTGATCCATTGTTATCCCTTGTGCTTCAATCATTTGTTTACATACTGCTCACTGGACGGTTCAGATACTTTCCTATCCACACAAGTCCAATGCAAATACAAAGATCCCCCATATAGCCTTAACAGACTGTTGGGGAAAGTGCTGTTAGCGAGCACCTCCGAAGGCTGGCACGGCATACGAGAGGGTGGGTGACCAGCACCACAGCTGGCTACCTTTGTATCCCTAGTGGCAATGTTTACACATGAGGTCAGGTACTTATTTGAGGCTGAGCCGACCTAAACGAGGCCCAGGACTGATTCAGGTAATTGTCACTGATGTTGGTCGTGAGAGGGAATCAAACTCGGGTCGTTGGGTTTGTAGCACAGCGTGCTAACTGCTGCACAACCGCTCCCGACACACACGCACGTTCAAACGCCTAAATGAGATTATCGTAAACCTATTTAAACAAAAGGTTTGCGGTGATGGATGTGTTTCATATTGATAAAATAGAAGGCAAACGTATACAAAATCATATCAGAGTGAAGAAAGCCACTATACTTATACACGCATGCCGAAAAAAATTGCTGAGGGCTGATGGAATTCTGTCACATTGACATTTCATCCCACACACCTGATGCACATCCCTTCTCAAGCTCACAACATGCACGCCCCCTCCCCAATGATGTGTTTTTATATTCTATTTTAACACCGTGCCAACAAAAAGATGTGACGACATAAATCAAGTATTAGATTGGGGAAGACGTTTTTTTGTTTATGTACAACCTAAACAACAGGCCAAGTGTGACACGAGGAAGTGAATTTCTAAGCTCGTCTGATGCGGATGAATGCACGTTGCTAATCTCAAAGTTGGTGCTTCGGATGTGTGAACAGGAAAGGTCTGACATGTTTCATATCGCCAGTTCAAGGTGCGTCAGCCTGTGGCCGGGATTGAGCGCTAATATCGCAGCACATGGCCCAAACTTTCCAAAAGCATTTGCAAAGCGCATTACTCAAAGACGTGGCTCCGCATCTATGTACTACTCGAAGAGGCCTCGTGGAGAACATTCGGCGCATTTCCAGTGCCACGATGTTCAGTTACAAATGCCCGCACGCGAGACTGCCGAAAATTAACGTACGGTGCATCCTAGATATTTTATAAATTAATTCAAAGTACTTCGACAGCATACCAATCGTTTAGAAACTACTGCCAAACTTACGTACACCCACATGGTTATACTTGCACAGTGCTTGCATGATTATGCCAACGCACGATTGACGACTTCTGGAGCTGTGAGCTGGCCAGGAGGTGGCAGTGTTGGGTGTCATCCTCTCACACGTGTGGGGTTGTCTCTGGGCACTCCAAATTTCCTCCCACATGGCAAGCACTCATTAATGGTATTGACCAAACGTCCAAATGTACACCTGTTAGCTTATTGTCGTGAGGAGGCTTTTTTAATTCGAGAATATACTACACGTCATTTTGACATTTCTCTCAATCCACCAAGATAAGTTTGTTGGCAGTGACACTTTATGAGAAGCGCAGAACCTCTGCGATCATCTGGCTGGCTGCAAAAAAAAAACTCCACTAGACTTAACAAAAGTCTCCCCAGCCAACAATAAGCGTCGCCTAACATTGAACAGTGTTCAGAGGGAGAATTCACCGTACAGTGTTTATATCAGCGTATTAGCTGGGATTTTCACCCGAGCAATGAATCACAAGTGTCTGTTTACAATAAAATAAGCTCATATCAGAACTGCCCTGATAGAATGCAAGAAACGTTACGATTAATGTTGTTGTGAATGCAACAATAATTACGGCCCCTTTTTCAGCCCACTCCTTTCATGCACTCCACTGTTAGTACGAAACCCGTGAAGCACGCAGAGCAGCATGGACAGATGGACAGATGCTTGCTTGGCATTACATTGGTAGACACCAAGAGCTTGCACGTGGATTAGAGATCATAGGCGGGATAAATACAGCATTCAAACACGTGGGCTTTTGCGACCAATATTCATAATAAACGTTTTTGGGTTAGATCGCGTTATTTATAAATGTGTCGTAACCCTCCACCACCCGACACGGGCAATCAGTAAAAAATAAAGTGTCACGTTGACAAAAGACAAATAGTTCACTATTGTAGCCCACCGGTGTGTTGAAGAGTGAATCCACAACATTTAAAAAAATTTAGTACGACGTTTCGCTGGTAATTACATCCAGCATCATCGAGCAATTCGCCAGAATAGTGAAGCCCTCGCTTGCTCCCGGTCTTAAATAGAGCAGCAGGGTGAAGTCATCATGTAACTCATTCAGGTGCAGTGATTTGAGGCGGAGGGGGGGTATTGTAATTATATAATAGATGAGTAATCAGTCAATTGTTATGATTAGTAATGAGTTGTAGATTAATAATTAGTTGTAATGTGTATTTTTTAACTGAACCCAATTACTATAACCACTCAAGTGCATAAATTAAAGGCGAGGGGGTATATAAGATTAGTAATCAGTTAATTATTATGATTAGTAATAAGTTGTAGATTAGTAATTAGTTGTAATGTGTGTTATTGTAATTATTCAGATCAGTCAAAACAAGGACAATCAGATTCAAACACAGCTTTTATCCTACAGCAATTACCACACTCAATACTGCTAATTAATAATTAAGTAATACTGTTTACAAGTGACTGTAAAATAGGGATGTGCAATGACAAAATGTACCTTTATGTGGGTATACTTTGGCAGTTTTTATATAGAAAATTTAATGATTATCTTTTATTTTATTTCATTTTTATTTCTTGTTTTATTTATTTAAATTTATGAATGATGCACTGACTGGTGAGCACTGGTGACAATGACAATAAAGGATCTATCTATCTATTGTGGAGTCCTTCTTTCAACCGTGTTTGACCATGGCTGGTGATGCATAGCCAGCCCCATGGACCACAACTTTTGGCTAACTAGAAAGCTGACCAGACATCGGGTGACAACCACTCATGAATGGAATTGGCCAAACTCCCCGCTGAAAGACCCTCTTGAAAAAATTCTTCAGACTCCTGAAAAAGTATTGAGTGAGAACTTCCCGGGAATAGTAGTTGGCATTCTTTTGACTTAATGATTACTTAGAGCGGCAAGTTGGTGCAGTGGTAACACTTATGCATCATAGAAGGGTCTGAGTTCGATTCCCGACTCGGGCAGCTTTCTGTGCGAAAGTTTGTACGTTCTCCCCCTGTTCTTGTGGGTTCTTCAGTTTCCTCCCAAAGCTAAAACACTTACAACGTGTCACTGGGACTGGTCAAACGTCCAAAATGCCGAAAGATTACCTGAGATGTACTCAATTAGGATGACAAACAGCAACAATCGTCCCCCCCTCCTGTGAAAACCTCCCAGGCTCTTCCTGGGAGACAGTCTTGAGACTGAGAGAGGCTTTGCTGTGTAAACAAGCATCGTAATAATAATAATAATAATGTTCCAGTCATCAGTCGATTGTAAATAATGTGGAATTTTAGAAAGTTATACTTCATACATAAATTAGTTTTAATGGTGAAGAAGTTTAGTTTTCTTATGGATTCACTTCAAATGAACGTGAGTATTAAACTGTAGTTTGAATTTTATGGCCACTTCAATAAATATATTGTAATTTGTTCTTTGTGCTGTTTTCAACTACTTTAAAATCACCAAATGTGTTGCATTTTTTTAAATAAAAATCGTGCTAACCGCCCAACCAAACAGATATCTGTGGATTCGTGACTTATTGCAATTACTCAGAAGAAGAGTGCCAAAGAGGAAACACAAATGAATGTGGGGACAAATCAAGTGCAATTGCAACAAAGTGAATCCGGATTAAGTAGTCATTGTGTGCACTCAAATTCCAGACCAATCATTTTAATGTTACAGTGTACTCTGGTTTATTAATTTGGAAATCATTCCAAAAACCCAATTTAAGCTTGAATGTACGTATGTTTAACGTAGTCAATCGTGTTAATCGAAGGTGTGGGGAAAAGACAACAAACTAAACACAGTGCCACTATTTATAGACTGAAGCGTTGTTGACAGTGATGTGACCTGCAGAGTAGTTTAACTCTCAAATCACAGGAATAGAATACCAGATAGAGGCGCCATGACTTTAGTAGTCGATTCTATACACCATGGAGCAATTGATCAGTGTTGAGTTCCTTAAATTTTAAATCGCACATGCACATATCATTAATATGCAAGTACATACGTTATAGACACATTGCCGTATATATGCACGTGCAAACAGTATGACATTTAGCTGTCGTAACATTATTTTTTGTTTGTTTTTAATTTTCACACACCACGGATGGAGTAAAAATAAACGTACGGAGATTCAGGTGGCAACAATTAAAAGCAATAATCACAGCACTGCTTTGGCATAAAAGGAAAAGCTCCACTCTTGCAGAAGAAACCCGCACCCGGCAGTGAAAATGTTAAAGACAAACGGATATCACGGAACAATTGCGCGGGGGGGGGGGGGGGCAGACACAGCGCGCACACGATAGTAGCGATCGAGACCAAATCTTAACAGCGCAATGCGATGTCCGCAAACCTGTTGGTCTCTTCTTCTTCCTGAAGATTCTGCATTTTCTCAGAACGCGATAGAGTCCCACAATAATGAGGACATTGAGCCCCGCCACAAGAAGCCCCTCCGATTTGAAGATGTTGAAATCCATGCTGACGGCAAAGGCGGTTGGAGGGGTGGTGACGAGAAGGAGCCCCACGTTGCCCCGGAATCCCACACACACCCCGTGTCTCTCTCTCTCTCCCCCTCTCTCACGCGCACACGCAGACGACACCCACGAGTCGGCTCTCACGCATTGTATTTGGTTTGCAAGGGACCCAGGACGAAATGTCCCCGTCTGTCCCACCCACCCTGCTACCCAACACACAAACCGCTACACACCCCCCCGACTCCTCTCTCACTTACTTACTTTCCCGACAAAACACTGTATACGTTTGCAAAGCTTCTCAACGGAGAACGAAATTGTAAAATCCACCGGCTAAAACTCCAGTTTATCGGTTTTACCTAAAGCTATATTGTTTTGGCTCTGTTTGCATCATTCGGCAGAGAGTCCTGTCGATACGTTGCCAACTGTCAAATTAGCTTTTTTTTGGCATTTGTTGTGTATTTAACTCAAATTCACATCACATATATTGTAGTATATGCACGTACAAACACAATTTGTATTATCAAATTTAACCCGTGAAGTGCATACAAAGGAACTTAAAGCGTGGCTATTTTTAATGGCAACAGAGATTTGTTTTCATGTTCTGAATATACGTATAATACTCACATGCATAAGTTAGCAATTTGACATTTTTATTACATGCCAAAGAATATATGATTTTGTATGTATATTTTACGGATACATATACTGTAATGCATTTAAGATTCCTTATACTTCATCACCGGTGGAATGACATCGAGAGACAGAAAGAAAAACAGCATGGATCAGGAATTTAAAAAAAACATCGCTCGCACCTCCGATTAGCATAGCTGTATACGTAACGTCCGAAATAAGTCCAAACATTCATACATAGCATTGACCAAACTCTTTGGTTCTTTCGGTAAAGTCACGTAGGTATAAAATAAATCAATCACGTTTCGGGCGGAACACAAGCGTCCATCATCAGGTGGGAAAGGCAGACTAACAGTCTGCCTCAGCAGCAGACCATGCTTTCCCACCTGATGATGGACGCTTGTGTTGCGCCCGAAACGTCGTGATTTATTTTATTTTATACCTACGTGAATTTACCGAAAGAACCAAAGAGTATGGACTCCTGCAGTCACGAAAGCTTCAAATCAAGATAGCATTGACTGTTTTGAAAAGTAATATGCTTCGCCGCCAGGACACTTTGCTAGAATGATGACGGACAGTGATCAAGACTAAGAACGGAGTGGCAGCCAAAGGAGCACTCCACATCTGAGATGGGACGATTGAAATCTGATCGTGTACGGGCGCTCGATGGTTCGTCGCTTCACGGGACCATGAAGGATGACGCTGGCTTCGATAGAAGACTTCATCCAGCGGTGGATTGATCATGGCTGATGCTTGAATATTATTATTTTGAGTGGTATTACTTGGTTATTGTCATTGGGCGCTGTAAAGGGGTTAATATAATACTCTGCTGTAAAATGTAATATATGCATGACATCAATGGGCTAAAAATGGATGTTGGTTTTGCCGATCATGCCACGTGTTTCAATAACTATTATGGCCTGGGAATTATTTTCCGAGTATTATTGCTGGGTTGTGTTCATTTGATCTAATCTGGAAATCCTCTTCAATGGAAGGCTGGTGCTTAGAGACCCTTTTACTGGCACAAAATCGAATGATAAAAATAAAGTTTAGTATTCGTGGGAGGAATTACATTTTGCATCACTGTGCCAACACTGCTGTTTTAGGTCAATGTTAAGCCCTATTCACGAAAAAATTATTATTTTATACAGTAGTGGTTGTTTGTACCTCCCTATATTTTTGTTTGCTACAACTACAGCAGATCTGCTAACATTCATGTATACTAATTTGATGGTATTTATTCTGGTATCAGTTAGTACATTTAATTGAATAGACATTTTGTCTTAAGTTTTCTCATACCAAACAGCATGTACATTTCGTATTGTACGGTTAGATATGGTGACATTATTTTAGCCATATCTTGCAACTTAGTGGCTTTTTGATGAGTGCTCAACAAATGTACATCACTCGTCTTATCTCAAGTCCCAACTTGAACTTGTCACGTTCCCCTTCTTCTTTCTTTATTTCTGCCTCCTGACTAATCGAGTTCCTACCCCAATCGCAACTCGTGCTTCTGATGAGACAAATCCTCAATTGGCATGAAACACACACCTAATTCACAATACAGTGTGGCGTAACATTTACACGGTTTTAAACCGGTCCACTATTTAGCACAACATATCTAGGAAAAAACTAATGCATCTACCAACTCAATTTAGAAGGGTGACGTTTGCACTCCTGCTGCAAGGCTACAAATAGCAATTCACAACCGTGCCGACACAAAGTGGGGTCTCTCAATGAGACGTCTTCTCGGAGTGATGCACGCAACCGGATCGCCCGTTGCCTGCAGAGTCAAGAAGCCCTTTGCCTCGGACGTACGCGTGCCCTTTGCAATGTCCGTTCGGCAATGTGGAAATTCGCTGCATCTTTCACGAGCGCATCTTCACGAGCGATTTTAAGCACAAGTGTTTTTCTTTCGGGTACGGTTTTGAACACACGTTCGCATCCACACAGGTACAAGGACATAATTGACCAAAATAACAGCCTGGGCGGGTTTCAGTCGTCACGAATGTAAATGAATTAATTTTGGTCGCCTTGATCCAGCGTGTGCACGTGCAGTTAAACAGCTGTTTATTCTTGATTTGAAGCTTTCGTGGCTGCAGGAATTACTCTTTGGTTGATGTTTATTGCAAGTAGCTCAAGGAAGGCGTGGATTTAAAGCAAAGCAAATACATGGAGCATTTCCATCGACAATATCATGAGTGAAAGGGTTATGGCCTATTGTTCAACTTAATTTGATCAACGATGTTGTTTGTTAGGTTGTTAAATGAAAAGCTTTTCTTCGGCCAAGGGTTCAAATATTATTTTTATAAAGCAATATGTTAAAGTAACCAGCATTTCAACATTGTTATTCATAATCGTTACTTATCACTTTCACAAATTGGTTTGATTTGGTTCATCTTCTGTTATAACTTAATAAGAATGCTCTGATAAATATCACTGTAGCTTTATTCCCGTAAAAATAAATGCAAAATAATAAAAGCTTTAAAGCAACATAGACATTGAATAAATAAAAATAATCAATACGCAAACCTCATTTATATTAATGCAGTGAACATATGTTCAAAGTCGATAATGTATTCTACGAATTGTTTAGAGCCAGGCATTTCAATCGTAACTTCATTCGGATTTAGCGCATGTGATTTTGATTCTCAGATTTGGACATCACTGTGCGTGTTGTACAATACGAAATCATGGCCATGGGTCTCACTCGCAAGACCTCACCCCCATCAAAGAACCAAGCTTATTAAGTCCACCAACCGAGTTAATGTGTGGTCCTGAGTGGCTCGACTTTTAATCATTCCCCCCCACAGGCTCGCGAATGATCCGCGTGGCTCTGTGATCGACGCTGCAGTGTATTCGTCTGCAGTCAAAAACACACTGTGGGCATTGGTCCCAGATTGGCCGGCCTCAACGCCAATAACGGCCGATGATGATGAAGAAGAAGCAGCCAAACCCGTGAACTCTTTATGGAGGGAGCACGCTGTGAAAATAATGGCGAGGATCTCAAGGGCAAGAATTGATGGCACAGACTATCCTTTCCTGTGGCTGTCTTTCTATCGAGAATAGCAGCAAGTGGCGGATCTAAAGTGCAGCGCATTTGTACATTTTAAAGCCCTCATCATTTACTGCCAGTGTTCTTGTGCTCGTGGAATTCAATGGAGAGCGGATAGTTAAATTGACTTAAAACTTTCATGACTGCGTGAACTCATATACTTTGGTTCTTTCGACAAAGTCACGTAGATATTATATTATTTTATTTGCATTAATTTTTTTCTATCTACGTGACTTTACCGAAAGAGTCAATGAATAGCGGATAGTTAAATTATTATTTTCCAAATAACTGTCAAGTTTTACTCCAAAATCTTGTCTGCGAATATAAAGGTTTAATAATTCTAACATGGCACAATGACGCTTTGTCCACTGTGTTGATTGTTAGCGTGCACGTTCCTGTGAGACCAGCAAGGAAAGCCAAGATAAAATACTAGTGTAGTGACACAGTGCCGACCGTTGTCCAGCAGCTGCAACTGCAGATAGACACTTAGCGCACACGCCGCTGAGCATATGCATGGGTATGCCGGCAGGGTGGAGGAACTGGGGCAAAGACCCCGCGTATAGCCTTGACAGACTTTGGGCAAGTGCTGTTAGTGAGCACCTATGAAGGCGGTGTCGCGAGTTAGCGCTACGCTGCGCTACGAACCCGGCGGACCCCAGTTCGATTCCCGCTCACGGCCAACACCGGTGACGATTATCTGTACCGGTCCTGGGCTTCCCCCTAGGTCGAGTCAGCCTCAAATGAGTACCTGGTGCGGTGTGTAAACATCGCCACGAGGGAGACAAAGGCGGCCGGTCGCGGTGCCGGCCACGCACCTCCTTCGTGTGCGACTCGCTAACAGCACTTGCCCCAAGTCTGTTACGGGGCTACACGGGGGATCTTTGTCTTTGCACGAAGCGAAAATGCACGGGAAAGGGAGCCGGCGTGCATAAGAGAGAGAGTGAGAGAGTGAGACCCCAAAACATGTTTTTCTCTTTGCCAAAATCCGTCCGCGAGCCCGGTGGCGCTGTGGGGGGGGGGGGGGGGGGACAGCGCATCTAATAGGGCTTCTTTATCTCCGCGACCAGACCAGTGGAAACGCAAAAAGCCTTCTGCATCAAGGGGAATATTTATCACCCGCAACAGTGGTGGGGAGGTGGGGGCAATGGTAGATGTCTCGGTGCTTCTGCTGCTGACTCGTAATGATAGCCCAAGAGTTCTGTTGAACGCGAGCACGCTGGAATGCGACAACGGAGAATTATGCATTGCATGTTTTCCCAAAAAAGGAATCTCTTCAAATAGTGATGTGGTTATCGCCCGACGCAATAACGCTGCCACATAGGTTGGGCGTGTGTGTGTGGTGATGCGCGTGTGCAATGTGTGCACGTGCGTGGGGAACGGTGGTGCAGCGGTTAGAGCAACGATGCGCTACGAACCCGGCGGACCCCAGTTCGATTCCCGCTCGCGGCCACCACCAGTGGCGATTATCTGAACCGGTCGTGGGCCTCTCCCCTAGGTCGACTCAGCCTCAAATGAGTACCTGATGCGATGTGTAAACATCGCCGCTGGGGGAGACAAAGGCGGCCGAGCGTGGTGCTGGCCACCCACCCCCTCGTGTGCCGTGCCGGCCTTCATAGGCGCTCGCTAACAACACTTGCCCCTACAGTTTGTTAACGCTATACGGGGGATCTTTGTCTGTGTTTAGTGTGGATACACTTCCCGGCCTCTCACAGTTCCCAGCTGATGACTTGGCACAACTGGTGAAAGGGAAGCTAGAGTGAGTGCATGATAACAACTGTTAAAGACAACTAGCTGGTTTGCCCGTCCTAGGACGGAAGCTGTAATATTTACGAAAAAAATTGAGCAGAGTAAAATTGTATCTCGTGTAAATTTAATGGCAGTGAATCTTGCGCAAAGTATGTCATCAAACATTAACTGCAGTTCACTGTAGCACTGTATATAACTGACCTTCAATTTGTTAAAATTCACTGATGTGATACTTTCTCTTCTGCTTTCGGTCGCTGGAGTTGAAATAAATTGGAATTCAATACAATATCTGAAAATCATCGAGAAATGTCTATTTTACCATAATGTAGAAGCATAAATCAGACTTACCTTTTGTCTCAAGTGCTGAAGAAATAAATAAAGACACCAAATCCACTTTGTTGCTGCGTATAATTATTTATTAGATTCACTTTCAATAAAGAAACGTGAAACTTAAAGCGAATTTGCGAAAAAAATTCTGCCTGACCTTCTGCGTGAGTGTAAAAATCCACCCGCTCATGAATATTAATGA